CAATAACAATTTTTAAATAAAACAACTAACAGGTTAAACAGTACAAGAATGGTAACATTAATATTTGCGGTAAAACCGTCAGCAGGCCAGACAGGTATGTGACAGTGGTAAATTTCACCAATAGAGAGAAAATATTTAAATTGCCTGGTCCAAAGTGGCCAGAAGAACAAGTTAACAATAAACAATTGACATTTAAACACAGAAAAATACTTTAAAATTGACAAAAAACGTTCCATACAAAAATTTTAGGCCTAACGCAACGACTCATGTATTTTTGCTAATTTCTCCAAAAGTTGTGATCCGAATTTGTTCGGAATGGTCTTAAAAGCTGGGGGAAATGTTCCAGCAGCTTCTCCAGACCATCCCAAACCTTAACTCAAAGGCTGAAACCAGTGGCCTTCCGTGTTACCCAGTTCAAACCTGAATGGAGAATTGCCAAACTAAAAATTACTGTAACTTTCTTAAAACTTGAGTAAAATGACTCAAACTTTCTGGGGAGCTTAAAGAGCAGTTAATACAACTTAATTTAACTAGTTTGGCAAGGACAAAGCAAAATAAAAGACTTTAACCTTACTTGACTGGGTAACACAAACTGAACATTTTACAAGACAAAACAACACTAAAAATTGTACGGGACACAGAGCAAAGGGCTACCAAAGGTAGTAGCCTAAGACAATTACATTTACTGAGCAAAAATTGTAAGCCTAGGCCTACCACAAAACAGTCAGAAGGACCCAAAAACTGACTTGGCAGTTTCTCTCAAATAGCGGCTTTCCAACAAACATTTCTCAGTCAATTCTAGGCCTAGCATTTCGGGCAAAGCCCTGAATTATACAAAACAACAGAGAACAGGGAAACTAACTATCAAAAGTCTTCCACGACCCCAAGACTAGGTTCCAGACCTAGTGCAACCATGTGCAGCTAACCTAAGTTTAGAAAAAAAAAGTGCAAACTCACCCAAAAGGCGCGCGTGGCGCACTAAATTTATTCCATGGTCGACGTTTGTCTCCTCTTGAACCAAATAGGGGCAATTAACATTAAAACCATGCCACAAACTTTAAGATGAAATCGGATAACCAAAAGAGCCGACCCGGAGTCGAGCAACGCCACACAACCTATGAGTTGCTGGCGGAAAAAGAGTAATAAGAACAAAACCCACAGCCTTGTTCGGGGTCGTGGAGTGAGAAACACTGAACTAGCCTACTATAAAAAAACACTTGAACCATTGATCATGAGTCGTGACACTCGCCCGGTGGAAATAGTCACGGCTCAGTATACAGCTTTCTTTGGTAAATTGATCTCCTCAATAGCGTCTAAGTCGGGTTGTCTCACATCGCTTATATCTTTCAAAAACATTGATGGAGTAATGGGACTCAACTCATTCAGATCATCCGACATGTCAGTAAGCAGTCGAGCATTGATGACACTTTCACATTCGCATAATGTAGTTGACATTTCTTCGTTGTTCAAACTAGTTTTCTTTAAAGCTCTCTTCGGAGCATGTTGATTGTTGGACTCCCACCCTTTAACATGTGCTGAAGCACCAAATACGGGTCTCACTGGTGAAGTCGCACTGTCCTCGATAACTGCTCTATGTGGTATGAAGTGCTTGATGTGATCTACCTCGTCACTCGGAACTGATTCAACGATTCCTTCAGTCTGCCAACTTCTAAACACTTGTTGATACTTATTGAAGTAACCACCATTTTTAGTTTTGTCAATCGTTGATTGAAGCCGTTTCTTTGAAAGTTCCAAGTTATTAGGAAGCATGTTACAATCCTCGACCCAAGGTAAGCACACTTCATAACGACCTTCGTTGTTAACACTCACCGTATTCCTAAAATGCTCTAGTGTCATCTCGTGTAACTCTTCTTTTGACTTCTGTTCTACGGGATCAGTAATACCAAGTGTCTCTAATTTCCAGAACATCGAAATATCCTCAGAAGGATCACTAAAAGAAAACATACTAACACATGATGTATTGCATTCTGCCTTACTGTTATCAGTTTCCACAACACTAGATAAGCGACCCATTATTGTCCAGCCTAGAAAGGTTTCCATTGCTACAAGTCCACTATTCAGCTGAACTTTGTTACCTGTGAACAACTTACCAGCAACATCTGCACCAATTAAAACTTCAATTTTACCTTCTGATCCAGCCACATCCGAAAGAACAATGTTAGCAGCTTCTATTTCCTTAAGTTCTGGACCTCTCCTAATACTAGGGATATTTTCACTTATAAGAGGTTGATCTAAAACCTTGAACCTACACTTATATTCATTATTCCTATTGGCAAGAATGATTTTAAACGTGTTATGTGAAACAACATCCGTCTTAACACCTCCAAAAAGTGAATGAGTTAAACTCTCTTGTCCCTCGGGATACATACCAATTTCAGATGCTGTGGACTCAAGAATATAAGATCTCATCGAACCTGTATCAATTAAGGCTCTAACAGGACGAATCAAACCTTCATGGATCAGATTGACCCTCAATGTCTGCAGATAAATCTGTGATTTTGTTTGTTGTCCTAAGTTAGATAGATCTTTGACCTCATTACCGGTACTCCTGTTTGATTTTTCTTGCAATTCTTGTTCCTTATTACACATCAAGGTAGGGAGTTTGCGGTAACAAATACTACATTTTAAAGGCCTTCTACAGAATTTTGATGTATGTCCCTGAAATAGACATGTAAAACAAGCTTTTTTATCCAAAACAATTTGTCTTTTTTTACTAAAATCCATTTTTTTGGCCTGAAGGCAATCTGCACTTTTGTGAGCTTCTGAACAGAATATACAATTGAACTCTTTTGACTTGTTAGTCAAGCAAGATGCTGAAGGCATATTGTTTGATGTTTTATCAATATTACTTCTAGGGCTTACCCTCTTACTCGTACCGTAACTAGTCTTAGCCAAAACAATTCTTTCTTCACCTTCAACTTCTGATTTGATGAACTGCCGCAATCTCTTCAATGTCTGCTCTTCTGTTTCTGATGATTCTTTATTCTCTCCATCTGAAGACAAACTGCATCTCTGCCAAGCTCTAAGAAGATCATCTGGTAAGCAGGATTCTACTAAAGGCAACAAAACACAAGCACATTTATCTGTTGTTACCTCTAAGCTTTCCAAGGCTCGTAGTTGACATTCTAATTTGTCGTAAAACTGCATCAGAGACAAACTATGTTCTGTGTTTTTCAGTACCAAAGCTAGCAGCTCCCTAACATATACTTGTACTAGAAGTCCATCCCGCCCAAATCTACCTTTAAGTTCCTCTAGAGCCTTAGGATAATTATCTGCTGTTGGTGGAAAACTCTTTACTACTTCATATGCTCTAGACCTAGGAATCATACTTTGTAACAAGTATTGGAACTTTTCTGCAGCATTTAAGGTCGGTTCCCTATCTATTGTTTGAAAAAGACTCCAGAAATGTAGCCAGTCCTTCGGATCTCCACCAAATTTGATCAATTCTACTTTTGGAAGTCTTACTGTGTTGTGCTTAGGTACTAAAGTGCTGTTGTTACTTACAGAATCGCCGAGAGAACGAGCTTCATCTTCTAATCTGTTACTTACTCGCAACTTGTATTTAATTAATCCATAAGCCTTCTTGTATTCATCCTGTTTTGCTAGTTCAGCTTCAATTTCTTCATCAGGTCGTTCTACAAGCATTAGATTCAATACTTCTTTATCAATTTCTTCCAACTCATTGTATCTTTGTTCTAATACGTCATAAAGAGCATTAGCTTCATCTAATTCTTCTTGACAAACTTCATTGAACTTTGATACTGATCTACTAAATGTTCTCAATGCCTTCCTTCTTTTTAACAAGGCTTCCATGATTCAAATAAAATCTATACTTTTCCAACAAATAACTTACTTCCACCAATGCCAACACGTTGGGCGCCACAATGTTACGAATGGAACTGACAAAAACAAGAGTACTCAGTGAAAGTAGTGACAATAATTTATTTGAACCATTTTGACTAACATCTTCTTTATAAGCTAACATAAACTCAACTCATTTGTTTACATTCTCTCCTTTAAATTAATAACATGTGTTTTAATTATTATGAAGCATACAATATTAACATTGACAACAGCTGGCAATTACCAGTAAGTTAAACCATTGACTATAGGTTAAACCAACACAGCATATATAACACCACGAGTGGGTCAGTATCACTGAGCTATAATTCTAACTGGAGGTAGCACTGAATGTCAAAGATGCGTGTCGCCAGCCGCCATGTTTGCGTGAGTCTGGTGTCATAAGAAGCCATATTATTGCTATAACTATTATTATACTTGGCTTAAAATACCTACTTTGTATGGTCGCCATTTCAAAGAAAATTATTAAAGTATTAAAAGTATTTAAGTATGACAAAAATACTCACTGCTATACCAACCTAGTTATAAGAAGCCATGTTATTGCTATGGTAAGAAAACTTACTGCTATACCAACCTAACAAAATCAGCGACTCGCTTTTGACAGACTTCTGCCATGGCAGTGCTACCTCCAGTTATAATTTTAGCTCAGTGGTCAGTATCAATGTTTTGGTAACTGTTGGCGTAAGCTATGTATTATTTCTTTGAACTTGTTTTTACTCAATAACTTGTAGCATGAGGAATGATTATTGTACAATCTCAGTCCAGTAAACAATGGAATTTTATGTTATAGTCATACAGTGTTTGGGGAGTATACAAATACAGTATTATCACTACGAGTTGAATACCTGCGGTTGAAATGTATTGATTTTGAAGGCTCATTTTTACTTCCCCCCTACACATAGTATATGGAGAAAATAAGGGTTTTTGACTAGCTAATGGGAGAAAGTATATGTTGGTTTGCTGATACCGTTTATTAACTGAATGTATGTAATTTAGAGATTAGAGATTATTTCCAAAGTTGAAAATAAGTTTTAAAATATTCTATTTCACTTTAAAGTCAAGAAAACATCACTCCTATTGGTGCATTACTTTGCCTGCACTGTTATAAAATTTTGCAGGTAAGACAACATACTGTGTTATTGTTGGGGAGGAAAACAATATTCGAGTAACTAACGTGTTGAAGAAAGGCTCGTACAACGTGATCCGAGCGAGCTGGCTAGTCCACAGCCTAGACGCAGGCCAACGTCTGTCTTGGACACCACGTGACATGATCAGCGCAGCGCCAGACACGGCCGTGTTGCTGGCGCAGCAGTTCGACCAGTACGGCGACAGCTACACAGACCCTGCCAACCTAGACAGCCTTAAACACACTATGGCTCAAGTGGTGAGGTTTTTTTTATTTTTATATTATTAAAGCAACTTTTTTCAAGTTGTTTTTTACAATTTTGTAAAATATTTGAATTGTAATATTTTTCCAAGACTAGTCGAATAGGATAGTGATCTCGGATGTGACGCACAGTCTAGGTTTTTAGAAATTTTGTTATTATAGTATAGTCTTACCTGAATGGGGAAGAGTTTCTGGCATTAGTTTCTGGCACAAAAAGCCAGACAATTTTCATTAAAGAACTTTTCAATAAGTACACAGGGTGTCCCGAAAGTAAACAGTTGAACTCAGGGAAATGGTTCTACGAGGTAAAATAAAAGTCAAGGATGAAATTTTTTCAAAATCGCATCATTAATCAAATATCTGCCGTTTAATATTTTTACATAAATATTTTTACCTTTGTGTTGTTCCAACTGATCTTTATGAAATTTTTACTTATCTTAAGGTAAAAGAGAACTATGTTAAAAACAAAAGATTAACTTGGTCCAATTCAAAATTTCAAAATGGTGGTCATTTAAATTTTTATAATTAAAATTAAAAAAAATTCTGATTTTATGAAAAAAAATTTGGAATTTACTATTTAGCATCTAAAATTTCCTATCAAAGGAAGCAAAGTTAAAAAAAATCACATAACAAATTGCTGAAATATCACAATTTTGGTTGTAAAATAAAATAAGACAAATTGAGGTGCAATCTGACCTGCTTAGCCTTATTCTACTCATTTTACAACTAAACTGAAGTTTTGCTATATTTACAAGACCCCTTGTATAGTGTTAAGTTTTGTGTTTCTTGTGTCATTTTGCACTCTTTCCTGTTCAGGTAAGCCCGATATCCTCCCAAAAAATTCTAAAAATATGGATTACTATGTGTGACATTGTTTTGGATATCAGTTTGAGGTTAGACATCCATTTGGAACATCTTCGTTTTTTAAACAAAAGATTCTATAGTTTATGTTTACCAAAGGTTGCCCTTTCCGGTTGAAAGTTGGGGTATTCAACGAAAGTCAGTTACTAACATTAACAATTAACACTCTTTGTCAGTGGCTTAATTCATTTGCTATCATTTTGATAATCGATTGAAAATTGTACTTTATTTTACAGGGAAAGAAGGACATCTCGTTGAAACAAATGGTTGAGCTTGATAAGATACTGTTCAACAAGTACAGTCCGTTCTCAGTGTTCCGTGGTTGTGTGGCGTGCTTTGACTGTCCCGAGGTTAGTACGACCATTACACTTGCAAAAGCTGGTATGTTTGATCAAATGTGTTGTGATACTGCTAAATAGCTCAGTGTATGTGGATTAATTGAATGTGACTAAATGCATCAGCTGATTTAATAAGTCAGCTGATTAAAAAAAATAACATAGAGCACAACAGTTTTACATTTTGACTGCTAATAATTAAAATTTTTTGTGTCAGACCTGAACTTTTAAAATAAAATTGATATTTAATAAATACCGAATACTTATTCAGTAAGGAGAAAAAATATATAAACATAAAGTAACCAGGAAGGGACGTCATGAAACTATAGGACGCTGGTCAAGCAAGCCCAGAAAACAACTTTTTGTTTGAGTGTTGTCAACGTTTGTTTTGTCATAGGAGGATTCTTCAGCCCCCAAGAACGATAGCCTCAGAATGTTGAGATATGATTTTGAGTTCCACGGAGGTGAAGTAACGTCCGATCTAACTCCACAGACTACTCATATAATACTAAACTCCAGGTACGTTTATGTACAACCTTGTTTTTTAGCAAGGTCATGCAAAATCCCCCTAAATTCAGAAAATAGTCAAATGCTAACTAGAGGTCCCGCTGGATGAATTACATAAAAATAATACGGAACATATTACAATCAGATGGTAAAAAATTTGAATGGATAGATTTTTTCCCTGAAATTTTGGGTGTTTTACAGAAAATAGGCCGAGTGAAGCGGATGTTTTACTTTTGCGATCACAGAACGCGTCTGCAAAGATTTCACAGTAAAAAATCTCACGCTTTCACAGTGATTACTGAAGATGATTATGATGCCTACACGACAGTGCGATATATTTACCATTTTGCCGCAATCACGGAATTTTATGATGATGTTTCCGTCACCTCAGGAGACAATGATGTTGTCTGCAAGACTGCAGAAGATGTTCAATTATGGTCCCACTTCAGGGTGATCTGTCTATGAGGATATTCTTTTATTGTTTTGTGTTCTACAGTAGACTCCCTCTTATCCGGACTCCTCGGGACCGATTTCAGTCCGCATAACGGTTTTTCCAGTTAAACCAATGTCCCCAAAAACTTGTTAAAACGGACTGTTTACTGTGATATTTGACTTAAATTTAGGAGAGCATTGTATTTAGACACGTGATCACTGGTCTCAAATCTTTCCCACGAGAACAGACATTTCAGTACTGCCCACTTCCTGCTGATCTAGTCCGATTAAGCCAATGTGCTGATCAAAATTGTCCGGTTAAAGAGATGTCATTTCTACCGAGTGTAGTCGGGTTAAACCGATGTCAGGTTAAAAGGTGTCCAGATAAGAGGGAGTCTACAGTAGTAGCTTTGAACAAATGTACTTTCGTGTAAATAAATTTAGCATTTGGTTGCCCTGTTGTCACTCAGAACCAATTTAGTCTAATTTGTAGAAATAAATTTATTTAGATACCAAAGAATTTGATGATACAACCATTTAGTAAGTTACTCACTAACACCATACTCAGTACATCGTTAACTTATCAATTTCTTTTGTGATAATTTAGTTTTATCCCCCAGTGATCTGGAGCGCTTGGAGGAGTGGATTATCCGATCTCAGGCCTTAGACAAGACTCCGTACATTGTACAACACCATTGGATAACACAGTGTGTCTCCAACAACACTCGGGTGGATGAGTACAAATATCTCCTGCATCTAGAGAACTACGACACTAACTGATCATGAAATGTCTGCATCGAGAAAACTAAGAGGCGATAATTCGTCGTAAAATGTTCTGCATCTAGAAAACTATGGCACCGATTGGTCGTAAAATGTTCTGCATCGAGAAAACTAAGACAGTGAACATGAAATGTCTGCATCTAGAAAACTATGGATACTAACTGAACATGAAATGTCTGCATCGAGAAAACTATGGATACTAACTGAACATGAAATTTCTGCGTTGAGAAAACTATGGATACTAACTGAACATCAAATGTCTGCATCTAGAAAACTATGGATACTAACTGAACATCAAATGTCTGCATCTAGAAAACTATGGATACTTAACTGAACATCAAATGTCTGCATCTATAAAACTATGGATACTAACTGAACATGAAATTTCTACATTGAGAAAACTAGGTGGCAATAATTGGTCGTGAAATTTTCTACGTCTAGAAAACTTGGACACTCTGATCCAATATCTTATCCATTATCTGATGAAATATCTGCATCAAGAAAACTGATGCAATAGTTGGTCATGAAATGTTCCACATCATAAAAACTGTGTTGTGTAAATATACTTGCTCAAAACTATCACAAACTATATGAAAAGCACATCTATATGCTTGGTTTGTGTATTTTTATAGGACAGTATTTTTATATTTTAGTAAGAGGACTTGGTGGTTGTGTTTACATTGTGATAGTTGAAGTATTGAAATGATGTTTTTATACTCTTTGTACCACATAATTTATATAAAATATATTTATCTAATTTTGTGTGATTTTTATAACTATTTTCCCCATTGAACAAAAAATTTAAATTTCCTAAAAACAAATGTTTAGTAGACAAAACACAGTATGTAAAAAGTATACTTGATCACAGATGTGTAGCTTAGATAAAATCCACCCTTGTGTAATTTTTTCTGAGTCGAGTTGTCCAGTGTAATTTTGACCAGTGCCGAATTTACCAATAGACCGACTAGACCGCAGCCTAGGGCCACAATGTAAACAAAAATTTAATTTTTATTTTTTGAAATTAGCAGTTTGCTACGATCAGGGCCGATTTACCAAATAGGCACGTTAGGCACGTGCCTAGGGCGCGAGGCAATTGGCATTTTTGGGGGGCGCCAAATAATTGGAAAATAAAAAGAATTGGTGGTTGTATTTGCATGATCGCGGTAAACTTTTGATGATCCCACCCGGCCGTGTAGACATTGTAACTGTCTGTCCGATTGAGGCAAAATTTTGACTATTGTCCAAAGTCGTGTATACATAATTATTACCTTCCATGATCGCGGCAATATATGAACATATCCCGCGGTCGTGAGGAGATTATCATCGTCTCGCGGTAGTGGCAAAAGTCTGATCACCCCTCGCGACCATGAAGACATCATTATATCGTCCCCTGCGGTCGTTTGTACATAGTAATCGCCTCCCGCGATTGCGGCAAAATAGTATTCATCTCCCACTCCCTTGGCCACATAATTTATAGATCATCGTCTTCCGTGAATGAGGCAAAATTCTTATTTTTTCCCGTGGGCATGTGGAGATTATCATCGTCTTGCGCGATCGCGGCATTCTGATCATCCCTCGCGGCCATGTAGAAATCATTCTTGTATCTCAAGTGGTCCTGTAGATATCGTTATCGTCTCCCTTGGCCGTGAAGACATCGTAATTATTGTTTCCGGTGGTTGTGGCCAAATTTTAATCATTGCCGAGTTCATGTGGACATTATCATCGTCCCTCACGGCTCTGTAGATATCAACATCGTCTTCTGAGATCGCGGAAATTCTGATAATCCCTCCCGGCTGTGTGTAGACATATTATCGTCTCCCGTGGTCACGAAAACATCACAGTTGTCATTTGCGATGGCGGTAAATTGAAAATTCCAGTTGGATATACAAAATCTACGCATAATTCCCGGTTAAAAAACTCAATCTTAGTTCTCAGATTCCTGGTTTTCCCCGTCAGTGGACACCCTGTATATATATTGCAAAGGGGCGCTACTATTAGTTGTGCCTAGGGCGCTGACAAGGTCAAAAACGGGCCTGGCTACGATCAAGGGTTATAATGAGTATTCCCTCATGATTGCAGGGGATGTTCATAATTTGTCTATGATTGTGTGTGACGATAAAGATTCCTCGTGGTTACGGGAGATGTTCACAATTTCTCTGCCATTTGGTGACGATGATGATGTCTCCGCAGTTGTTAGAGATGATAACGATTTTGCTGCAATCAGGGTGATGTTCCACCTAAGGGGCGAGGGCCGCTTGATTGAATTTGGCCCAGGGCCGCGAGGCCCACTAACCTCTTATTTTGAGATTTGCCGCTCCCACTAACTTCTCTGTCACAGATAGGCTCCTCATGATAAACTCATGATTAACTTCTTATAAGTTGCACACCTACCATATGTGACTTAAAAGGGGTTTGAGCCCTATATCTACTATCCAGATGCTGCCTTCTGGCCAGGGAGACATCGCTTTAGACCGCTCCGCTATTGATTAAAACACCCCCACACTCTGGGGCAGCAAAATTCTTTCACGTGCATTATATATAAGGCATTTTTTCAGACTTTTTTTATATTTCATAGTTAGTTGCAAGTGAAGGTATTGCAAAAGTCAGTAGTTCTTTGATGGTTTGAAACTGGACCCAGCTGTTCCCGATCAAATGAGCCCCGCTAATGAACCAGCTGATCTTAGTCAGTAACAAAGCTACACATATAAGAATAAGAAAATAAACAGAATAAAATTGTTATACCTTAATGTTATTTTATGTTATGATATGTTATAATCTAAATGTTATTTTTTATTTGTTTAAAGTTTTTCCTGGATTCCTTAAACCAAAATCCCACCCTCTACTGTCCACCCATATACTGGACTGGCTCGCCCGTTGCTTTGCTGGATACGTTCCACGCACAGATCTGTGTTCTATGTGGACGGGCAAATGCAAGGTTGAGAGAGGCCGCCAATGTCTTTTTAAAAAATCAGTTAACTCTTAGTGAATTTACCATAAGCTATTACCATAGATCAAACAAACTCCCTTACTAGATTTCTCATCCTAATGGAACAGCTTAAATTTAGTGTTGCCTTGGCTGAAGCCATTGTTAGTTCTGTCCGGTGGACCGGGTCGCCGGATTTCTACACCCGGATATTTACCCCCATGAAAAAACGCCTACGTCACTTTGACGTCACATGTATGGGGGTAGATTTCCGGCCGCGAACTTTTAGGATGGATAAATTATTATGTATTCAATCAACTCGCATTTCACGGTTTACTTAACAGTTGTAATTAATCAAAATGCTTATAAACCTGACACCAGAACTTTACCCCCGGACATTTACCCCCAGACATCTACCCCCAGAAATCTACCCCCAGACATCTACCCCGGACATCTACCCCCGGACATTTACCCCCAGATATCTACCCCCAGACATCTACCCCCGGAAATCTACCCCCAGAAATGTACCCCCAGTGGTCAAATCATAAATGTCCGAACCCGGAATTCTACCCCCGGAAATCTACCCCCCGTGCTACACTACGTATCGGCAAATATTCGTTGTTGTAGTTGATTTCAGTAATTGGTTTATAAAAATAATCAATGGCTCTTCGTTTAATAATTACCCTCTAATATCTAGTATTAAGCATGTGATATGTCGTTGTCTTGTTTAATGTCATCTATCTTCCCAATTCATTAAGATGTAACTTATTTAGGTGTCATTTTTAAGCTTAAGATTCAGTGCAACGCAAATTGTAATTAAAAGGATATTTGGATAAAGGGCTTCAAAGGTTTAACCCATAAGCATTTGATTTATCAGACAGTGATTTAAATGGTTGACCAATTTTCACATACACTAATAGCTAACAGCACATGTACGAGCGCAGATCGTGAAATTTTAAACATAACACTGAAGAAGGTTATTTCCTGATTACTAGTGGTAAAAAATGCAATTAAATGTTGATAAAAAGCCTGCCAAAGGTTGATTAATGAATTAATAATTTTTCACTATCAATTACCTTCTAGTAATACGAAATAGTATAATCCCTATGTCGTAGACACTATCCGGAGTTTTACATTGGGCAAAAAGTCTAGTTGCTTACACAAATAATTAATCGTAAAAAATAAAACATAAACATATTTTATGATTGATTCTGGTTGTCAATGCTGGTTGTGAAATAACGGAGAATAATGTAAAAGAATAAAATTGGATATTTGTATATATTGGATATACAAGTCTTTATCTCAATTTCTGCTTTGTCTGTCAAGGCCCAGAAGGCATTTTACGTGGCCTTCTCCTCAAAAACTAGAGCATCGATCGTGATTCGATTTAAATAGTTTTTTTGGATTCGGTGGATTGACACGAAAATATGGCCTCACTACTTTTGAATTAAAATAAATTTTGTTCAAACCCCCAATTTTTTGCATTAGTCTAGTTTACTCCTAATGACCAGTAATTTATGAAATACTAATAATTTGTTTGGAGAATACGACATCTATGAAATAACAAACAGCTATGAAGGATGAAAAGTTGAAAAATTAAAAATGGTGGATATTCAATCAAAAAGATAGTTTTTAACGCTTTTTAACGCCTTTCTAATAGAAAATTAACATGTAAGGCTTAGGGGTCAACCTTTTGAAGCCCTAATCAAAATATCATTTTTAATTACCATTTTGCTCTGCGTAAGATCTTAAGCTTTAAAATGACACCTCAATCGAAACAATCGGCGAAGTAGGTCGGGTGAAAAAGGACTGTTACAGCTTATTGATTTAGGAAGATAGATAATGTTAAACAAGACAATGACATATCGCATGCTTTATACTGGATATTACAAGACAATGATTAACCGAAGAGCCGTTGATTTCCGAGAATATAATTCCGGGGTCAGATATTTATGATTTAACCACTGGGGGTGGATGTCCGGGGGTAGATGTCTGGGGGTAGATGTCCGGGGGTAGATTTCCGGGGGTAGATATCCGGGGGTAGATGTCCGGGGGTATATATACGGGGGTAAATGTCTGGGGGTAGATATCCGGGGGTAAATGTCCGGGAGTAGATTTCTGGGGGTAGATGTCCGGGGGTAGATTTCCGTGCTATGGCAAATCACTTTATAATCAAACAATTACATGTTGACTATTTAATAATATATTGGGGGTAAATTTCCAGTCGCGGGCAGTTTCTCGACCATGTATAGGCCCCGCCCCTCGTGACGTCAAAATGACGTAGGCGTTTTTTCATGGGGGTAAATATCCGGGGGTAGAAATCCGCTACCCCGGTGGACCGTAGAGGTTGTGTTTTGTTTACAATTTGTTTATTGTTATTTTTGTCATTTAAAACCTTTTTCGACCAAATAAAACGGTCTAATCATAAGCTAATGTGCCCCCTCACGTATTACCAAGCAGTAAAGCACAAATCATTAAATTAACCCTAAAATAAAAGAAAAAAAATCGTCAACACTAGTGATCAGTGTCATCCACACCAATCAAGAAATTTATTTACACTATAATTATTACCAATACATAGGTTACAAAAGTGCAAAAAACCACATGAACTAGGCCCAAAAACCGAGCTTTAATTCAAAGATTTACAATGGGGTGAGAAATCTACTTGTGTTAGTTAGTTTATGGTGATTCAATAAGTCAGATGATTTTTATATGAACCTATAAAAACTGTTAAGTGTTGGAGTTTCATACACCTGAAATTTTCATTTGGCAAGACATCTTTACA